CCTGAAACTCTCAGACTGAAGAAGTCTCTTGGAAGAGAGACGAAACGTTTCATTAAAGAAGAATCCGTCCAGAGGACCTATACAATTTTTTTTCCCTCTAACTGGATATTATTCCAGAGATGACTTTGGGACATTATCCTTAGTCTTATGTCATGGGTTGCATACACTTCACACGTTTTGGAACTGTTGCATGAACCTTTACATCTTGATTCTGCTGCAACACCATAAATTCCCTGTTTGACATTATTGGTTATTTCTGTTTTTTTTCTAAAGTAAAGTTATTACAAAAACTAAACAAATGTCACAAATATATTACTAACCCTAACCAAAGACGTGAGATGTGTTACACAGCTCTCTAGCTTTGAGACATGTCTCAATGTTGATGTATTAAGATTAGCAAACTTTGCCTTCGTAGATCACTACAGGAGGCATGATTATCAGCATACTCAACAGCGTGAGTAAGAACCATTTTAACATAAAAAAACAAACAACCATACACAAACATTTACCCAAAACCAACATATTTATTTATTAACCATATGTGATCACCATTTTTTGCAGAAAGTACCGGTACATAGCATATAGACAGTTCGTTCGGATGTGCAGCCACCTGGGAAAACACAACAGAGTACCACTACCATCATGTGTGGTGAATAAGATCCGCAGCAAGATATACTGGATTCCAGTGCCCTCATCTGGATTGAGACTGGTATCTGGACCGCTTCTCTGCAACATCGTCTTTGTCCAGGTGCTGGAAATCACTGCTCAGTGGAGGAGGTTCTTCAAGTTGTGCGCCAGGCTGGTCCTCTGATCCACGTTTGCAGAGAGCAAATACCTCTGTAGCTCCACACAGCCTGCCAAAGGAAATAAGAAGATAAAAGAAATAAACATACAGTATATACATAATGAATGACATATGCCATCGCATTGAAAACTATTATTTCAGCAGTTTATGAAATAAAATTTCCAAAGCAAGGTTTTTACATCCTTATCTTGTTACAAAAAAAGTTTGAATAAAAGATAAATAATTTAACTGATTACAGCGTTTATGAGATTTGTGAGATTTTATACAGTAAAACTCACCAACCTCTTTATTTAGGTGAAAAATACAATTACATTAAATTAGGTAATTATGAAATGATAAAATTATACAAAAGACACTATTTTGTTACTCTAATTTAGTAAATACCAACTAGTTGTAACTTAAATGTGCCCCACACACACACACACCATTTTCTGTAAAATAGAGACATGTATAAGCTTTGTTTATTTCAATGTTATTTTGTATTCTATTAGAGTTCAAGTTGATCTACAGTAAGCAATATAAATTGATGCATTTTATTTGTTTGTCACTGAAAGTCCTTTGCACTGTTCTAACAAATTATCTACTGCAAGTGATGTTTTCATAAGTTTAATCTTGAAAACAGTAATTCCTTCCTACTGAAATTGTTTTTCAAAGTAATATTTGTTGTGTATTTTAACCTTTAACATAGTACCGAAATAGCCTTATTACCTAGTACTTTATTACTCTGAATTAAGTGATAGCATGGACAGAAACGTTTTATCCCTACTTGAGTAAGCCTCAGAAGTGATACTCTTTGTCTTAGCAGCTAATAGCATGGCCATCGTGTTTGAGATTTAGCAGGTTGAAACTAAACACAAAATGGTCCAAAATGCTCAATACTAAACATTTCATGTAGAAGAACTCATAATGACAATAATTTATCGCCAGAAACAATCTAAAAACACATAACTTACTATTGCAGTGCGTATAGTATGGTATTATGTCTACAGGCAGCGTGTCTCGTAGCTAATATTTATTAGCATACATATACTCATCGTGTTTACTGTGGGCAATGTACACTCACAGAGTATAGGTACTGCAATATAAACTCAAGTTGGGTATACTGTATATTCTTTCGTCTCAAACACTCTACACACCTCTGATGATTTATACACGACGCACACACAAGATTAACAACGGGACTTACTCTTTTCTTGGCGAGCTTTGCAACTGTGGCTTCTCTGCGCTGTTTTGTTGTGCTGGCAGTGTCTTCGGCTGTGGATTTTCTTTTAAAAATTGTAGGGATAGCAGTCGGTTTTAAAACTCTTATTTCACTTTCAAGCCAAAAGATTCCTGTAAGCCTGGTTAGTGATGGCTCTAGCCACTTTGGTGCCCTAGGTGAGTTGAAATGCACCCTCCCGCCCGAATTATGTCCCACCCTCCCCAATTTGAACCCTTAAAAACAAGTTTGACAGTGTAAGGTACTATGTTAAACTTAGATTTATTTGCCTTCCCAGAAAGCAAATAACATACATGTCAACTTGTATGGATTGTCCATAAGCGAGGCTGACCACCCCCCCGGTGCGAGTTTTATGGATTTTTTGCAAAATTTATGGATTCTTGAGGCTTTTCATGCAGGTAAACGTCCGAAGAGGTTGACATGTATGGGACAGCAAAAAACAGACTTATTGTGTTTGTCAACACGAACCGCTACCTGAGAGGCATTACTAGCCCCTCCCCCATCAGAGTGTCGGAGCAGGATGAGTCAGTGCAACGTCAATCATATGAGAGAGAGGGTGGGGGCGATTGCTGCATTGCAGGGGAGAAAATGTTTTATGAGTAGTTTATTTTTTCCTGTAATACTTCATTATAGTTTAAGACAAAGTTAATTGAAAGGGGCGCTGAACAGAGTTACAACCAGGGATTACAAATAATTACTTTTTTCTTCTGCAGTTCGACGCCCCCTCCAGCAGATGGCACTCTAGTCGACTGCCTAGTTCGCCTATGCGAAGAGCCAGCTCTGAGCCTGGTGACTCCTCAGTGAAATGGTCGCTAAAGAGTACGGAAGACGGAGTGGGAAGCCATCTGTCCCTCGTTCTCTGTACTTGCTTCGTCCATTATTTACGAAGGTTTTCATCCTTTGGGAAAGAAAACGGGCTTACTTCTTCACTGGGGTAATTGGAACACCCAGCTGTGACACAAAGTTTCGGCATTAATGAGTCAGTCTACAAAAAAAAAAAAAAAAAAAAAAAAAATCCTGAAGACAAATTAACAGCTTCCCAATAGCAGAGGCAGATAGGAAGTACACCCTGATGACGTCAATGGTGTTGTGCCGCTGGATATCCCGTACTGAAACACAGCGCCAAGTTTGAAATGACTTCTAAACCAGTTGTGTCCCACCACTTCCTTTCGGGGAATACTGCACCAATGTAAGCATCAAATATGAACGTCTACATCGCTTGTGAGGGTGCACGCTGAGGCTTGTGCGACACTCAAAAGCACAACAATGGCTGTGTCCAAATTCAGGAGCTGCATCCTTTGAAGGCCAAGTTTGAAGGCTAATTTCCAATTTCATCCCAACTTAGCACCAAAGTCTGTCCAAATTCAAACACTCCCTTCAATTGTGACCCAGAAATGTGTCCTTTTCCCCTGATTAGAAGGATGGTCTGGCGTATCCCTCCCAGCACACCCTTTCCCAAGGTGCATTGTGGACTGAACGATCACAAGATGACTGTTTTGTTTGTAGTAGCAGACACAGGAGTACAGTTTTAAATAAAATCTGTCAGTACAAAAAATGGAAAGTTTAAAGCGGTCGTGTTGTTCTGCTTTTGTCATTTTCATTGACATATTTTAATATTTTTCTTGTCGGGAATCATTATAAACAAGCTTGTGTGGCAGGTCACTTAGTTCTTCATGTATTGCCTCTGAGCAAACGTTAATTTATGATAATATTTATATCAAATATTAATATTTAGCTAATTTTGAACTTTTAAATTTTCATTGCTACTGTTTAGTGTCGTCAAAGAATGTCCAAATTCACAGCCATTTTCTTCAGGTCTCTGTGGTCAACAAAGAACCTGGCCCATGTAGACCAAGGTAGGGTCATTAGGACGCAGCCTTTAACTGAGCCTTTAGGCTGACAAGCTGGAGCAGGGACCTCTGTGTCCCAGGAGGCCGGGGAGCAAGTGTTTTGCTCAGGACACCAAGGCATGTGGGCACGGCGAGGAGTTGAACCTGTGACTTTCTGGTCCCGAGTCATCAGCCCTACCACTATACCACAGCTGCTCCCATTGTCAAATGGTGTTGCATTCTCACAATCTTGTTACCGAGTCCCTTTCTGTGGCCTCAAGAGAGGGCAAGTTCTTTACCTTGGTAGGAGTTGTTGACATATTTAAGCTGCTCTCTGTCACACTGTAAGACTTACAACAATGGTCCCTGAGGCATTTCATGGGAGTTAATAGTCTGAGGTGCCTGGATACACTTTTGTGCTTCAGCACAGGCAGTTATGCAAAGTAATAAAAACACAGTAGGATTGAGAAAACACAATCCAAACTAAAAGTTGAGATGCTGTATAAGATGTACTGTACATTAAAACTAAATCTGTTTATTTACAGATCTCACAAACCCATTGTATTTACAACTGAATATATGTTTAGACCAAGGACAGAAGATCCTAATCTGAAGTGATTTTGTCATAATATAATAGTTGTGATGTGTGTGTTGATTTACTGACCTGTACATCTCCAGAGTCTGTGCAGACTGAAGCACATTGTTGTAGTCTCCAAACAGATTGGAAATGCAAACTGTGAAGTTCACCCTTTGAGTATTTTCACTGATTCTTCGGTTTCTTATAGGAATCCAAGTGAGATTAGACACATTTTCTGCACTGGGCTGAGTCAGAAGGGTGACATGTGTAGCAGTGCAGTTTTGAGGAATCTGACACATGATGTCTGTAGTTGCAAAGGGAAAACCAAAGTGATCTGAGTGGACTAAGACTGTGGTGGGAGTAGTTTCACCTAAATGTCCAACACAGCAGAACAGGCAGTGGAGCTTCTGGACGGAGTCTCTATGAAACATGCCGATGATGCGTATGTCGAATCCCTTCTGTCTCTGGTCCATGAAGGCCGAGACCAGGAAATGTTTGGTGTTCTGCAGAGGAGTGATGGTCTGATCAGAGATGACTGATGGACAAACAGGTGGAGGTCCACGAGGTGTTTGCTTGTCTGTTGAAGTCGTTCTCTTGTTGAAGATGAACAGAAAGATGACGGCAACGACCGTGATGATGAAAAACTTTCGTATGAAGTAGTTTGTCTTTTCCATTTCAGAATCCCAACCTGAAGCAAAAAAAAAAAAAAAAAACACTGAACGATTTTATGTCAGAGAAATAATTAAAAACTTGGAGCATATGGTCAATTCACTATCATTAAAATAAAGTCAACAAATTTTAAATGTAAATTCATTGGTAGGTTACACACCTGTGTAATCTTTTGATGTAACACTGAGACACGCTGACATCTACAACCCTTTAAGTTAAGACTATCACAGCTAAAATTTAGTGTTGATCAGGGATGATGCCGTGAGAATAGACAATGTATGTGTGTGTGTGTGTGTGTGTGTGTGTGTGTGTCCTTGTTTTTGCACTTTGGTGGGGACAAATTTTCAGGAAAATGCAGCCTCATGGGGACCGAGTGCTCCTTGTAGGGACCAAAGCCCAGTCCCCACGACTAAGTCTGAAGTGAAGAAAACTGCCAGGGTTGGTTTACTAAATGCTGCCCATTCCATTAAAGCTTTGAATAAATTATTGAACAGAAAATATTCCCGTTGCTAAATCACAAATACCCACATTTTAAAATAAACTTTATGCACATCTGGCAGAAACCGATAACTTTGGAACAAATGATTTCTACTCAACTATATCAAGTTCTGGGCAATTATCTCCAGATGACTTGATAACCACCAATTTGTGAAATAATATATAATAACAGAACTGACACACACCATATGTCCACAATGGACTCCTTCTGAGGTGAACAGGGACTCACCGGTTGTGGTTTGAAGCTTTTCTGCATGAAGTAGATTGAGCTTGTTTTAAATAATGTTTGTTTACAGCAGTGCTGCAGAGCAGAACAACTGTAGCTTAATGTCATCAGTTTGAGCTGTGCTCAGAAATAAAGTCAGGTTTCCTTTGTCTTATTCTCCCTCTGCCTCCGCCCTCTTCCATGTTTCGCCACCCATGTTGAAATTTGTCTTAAGACATTGCCCTTCATCATCCCATCACAAGATTTGTCAGTATTGTATATATATTTATAATAATTACTCTCTGCCTTCATAAAAATCCTTACATTTTTATTCACCATACCAGAGTGACACATTTGTAATGTTTGACCTCATTTCTACAACTAATGTAGCTGCTAGTATTTAATAAGTCACAGTTTTCTCAGTTGCTAAAACACTAAACTTTGTTGTCTGAACCACATGCTCAATTCCCTGAAACCATTTTTTAAAACAGCCACCCTTTTGTCAGAACACCAAGCACATTTCACCCAGTTAAACAACATGCAGACCTGTTTTCACCCACTAAAACATACAGTATTTTGCTGTGTGATTCACATGGTTCCACAAAGATCAGCACAGGTAGCAAAAGTGAGACACAAATAAAGCACTGCTAACTGAACTGAAACACAGCAACTCAAAATAGATCACACGTGCCTAATGATGTGACCAAACCAATACAAGGCGGTACAAGGAGCCCTGCATCGAAGCTTCACTATGAATAGAAAAAAAATCAGAGCTAAATACTTTAAATATAAACAATGAAGAACTGGATGCATTTTGTTGATATATTAGATTTCTACATACAGACAAAAGCATTCATTGTATAAAATCTATTTATAGGCTACACACTCACGCAATATTTACAGCAGGTAAAATAAGTATTGAACACGTCACCATTTTTCTCAGTAAATATATTACTAGAGGTGCTAATGACATGAAATTTTCACCAGATGTCGGTAAC